GCCCAAAAAAATAAAACCCCCCCCCCCCCCTTATCCTCCTCTCATGGCAATCGCCACCGCCCCCGCCACCCCATACCCCACCCCTGCCGCTTCACCATCTCATTGCCTCGTGTACCGTACTTTTTGTACCGATAAATAGGTTAGGTATTATTAGCGCATGCGGAACATTTTACGCTTAAGTAAACATAGAGTGTATTTTCTACCTGATTCTGCTACTTTATTGGGCATGGACTTTTGGAGCGTAATTACGTGCTTAGAGTTTATTAGCTCTTGCAGAAGAGCGAATTTTACAAACGGCTTAGAGCTCCTTCTCCATTCATCTTTCATTGCATGCCTCAAGCATTTCCCGTACATATAAACTCAACATCCTGATCGCGCGCCGTTAAATAAAGGTTGATTGCAAAAGCAGAATTTAAAGGAAAAATGGCCTGCTTTAATAGGGTTGATTATCTCGTCTCGCTCGAGTTAAACAATCAAACTGCATGTCCTCCGAAACACCGTTGCCTTATGTAGCCCTTTAGAGTAGCCGCCTGACGTTGTCATTTAGTCGATTTAAGCGAACGTCTTGCTAGATTGAGTAATTAGACCCCAAGTTGAATAATTACTCAACGTTCAAAGCTGTATATCCTTCGTTATTTCCGCTCGTTCCATAAATCAAAATTCCGGAGCAAAGCTTTCGGACCCTGCTTTCTCTCTCTCTCTCTTTCTCTCTCTCTCTCTCTCGTCCATTCGTAAGTTGTTGTACGCCTCGTCGAATCGTAAAATCCGTGTACTCGGGTCGGCCAAGCGGTCAGGCCGGGAGACAACGAATGCTCGAACTTTTTCATGATTCGTGAGCGCGGTTGGTTTGCCCTGAAGGAGCCTTAATGTCGGACTTAACGCGACAAATACGATTGCCGATGAGCCGTCGTCGTCGTCGTCGTCGTCGTCGTCGTCGTCGTCGTCGTCGGCGTCGGTGTCGGCGTCGGCATTAGCGTCGGCGTCGACTCATCGGCGTCAGCCGAGAAGAGGATGTACCCACCCAGCGTAGACTCAAGCAAATTCAAGTGTAAACGAGCTGACAAAGAGACGCGGAGTCGGGCCTTGGCCGAGCCGCGCACGTCGCCGCTTTGTTGACGAGACTCGGCTTGCCCCCTCCATGCGGAAATTAGCGCCCGGGTGCGAGGTTTTTTTCGCCGAGCCGGCGGCCAGTGCCGCAGGAGCGCGCGACCGAACAGATTCTTCCGTCTCGTTCGTCGCCCGGAAGCTCGCGAGGCTCCTTTATTTCTTCATGACATTAGTTCTCGCTCGGTCGTTTGCTCCTCGGTGACGATCTCGACACGTGTGCGCGCATTTAAAAACGACGGCGACAGCCCGCGCACTTTTACGAGACACTTCGCGACGCCTACCATAATTTGCCAGTGAGGTGTGCTGTCTTTATGGCATCTGCAAGAAAGTGAAGCGGGAAATTATCTGCCTTACTATCGGTATCTTGGATATCTTGGGTATCTAGGCACCTAGTGCAACAGTGCCCGTTTAATAATATTGAATTTTAGGAAGGGACTGGGGCAGGCTTTCCAAGGGGTTTCTTCAAGTAGGTTATTATTCATTGACTCTCATTGTTTATTCCACTTCATCGAGTCACTTCATTTATGCATTTCAAACTTGAAAATGTCATTTCTTATTTTATTTTATGCACTCGTTCGTTCATTCAATTATCGGTTCGCCTATCTTCTTGCCTCTCAATTTCACGTTTTCCTCTTAATACTGAGTTATCTTCAGCAAGCCATTCAGCGCATACTTTTAAACACGGAGTGCGTTATTCCAATCGTATCGCACCCGTAGTTCCGGTATTTATGTAAAGGTTCTGCTCGTGGCGTAGAAATTTTTTTTAGAAAATCCACATCGATAGCAGATCCCCGGTGAATAAAGACTCGAGGGGCCATGTGCATTTAAACGAAAAATAAACAATAGTGACAAATTTTCGGTAGAGTAGTAGTGATTTTTAATTTTAATATGAATGAGCACGGACCAAAATTAATTTTAATCTGTTAGAAAGAGGGAGGGGCGGGGGAGTATTAAACTGCAAAATATTGAAATAGGAAACGTCGCAATATTATAAATTATCTTTGTTGTTTTTTTGTGGTGTATTTTTTAAATTATTTTCATTTTATCGTATTTTTGTTAAAGAATTCAAATAATATTTTTAATATTCTCATAGGATAGTCAACATTATTTTATCTGATATAATATCATAATTATCTTCATCCTAATAACAATATTCTAATCCTAAATTATCTTTCTAATTGCCCGACCAAAGATAAAAGTATTACATTATTAATATTAATTCGAATCATTTAATCATAGTCCATCGGGACGTTAACTCCGAATTTTATCATGCGTTCGCTTATGAGTAGTAGTTATCCTTTTCCACCATAATATCAGCATTAAGTGGAGTCATATCCGCTTTATTTATTCTATCATATATTAAAAGAAATTAATTACTCTAATGTTAAGCTGCTCCAGTCTTCGCCATTTATTTACATAAGTATTTAATTCTGTGGTGTGTATTATATTCTTAAAATGTATGCCCGTTAAAATAAAATTCCAGATAGTTGTCGATAATTTTTGAAAAATATTCCAATTATTATTTTTTCAAAAGATATAATAACCATGCAAGTAATGATAGAGTATTCGTCAATGTCTCGTATTGATGATAAGCAGTATATCAAGCGATGTATTCGCATATAATAAAAATAGTTCTCGCATCATTTTGTTATCTTATCGATGCTGTAGCGATCACGGTAATTAATCAATTCGGAACTTGTTTGATTAGTGGAATCATTTTACTCGGCCCATTTGGTACTTGAATTTTTTCGCCTCTTTCGTGTTTCGTACACATTGACCTCTTTAATTTACTTCCCATAATTTCCTAAGCCTACCTTTTAGCATATTTTCGCAGTCTCGAAAATATTTATCAAATGTGTGTGCGGGCGCGCGTGTGTGTGCGCGTGTATGTGCACGCGTATATGTATGTGGGTGTTTTACCGATTAATCCACATAAACGTAGCCTATATTCTGTAGAATTTTCAATGATGAAAAAAGCATCAAATTATAAAGAAAATCGAAGCCACGCGGATAGTAAACAAAGCCTTTTAATCCTAACTCTCAAGCAAAGTCATGTAAAGGTGGATGATTAGCTATCTTCAATATCAGCAAGCCATCGTACTTTAGCTTCGCTTGTAGCCGCTCCCATAATAAATAAATAGATAATTATACGAAATTATCGTTACGATATTGAGACGGACGGCAACAAAGTATCTGATTAGATTACGGCGAGTCGCGCTTACCTAATTCTAAATAATGGACCGCCGCTGAATTAAAAACCGCAAACAATTTGTTTCTCTTTACTCGTATTTTTTTTCTTTTTTTCCTTCTTTTTATTTTCCTTTTAATCAGTCCATGAATAAAAATATTAAAATAGAGTGCCGTGTGATGCGCTCCTTTAATCTCTTTCTGTGTCATAAAAATTATATTTACAGCGCAACGGTGACGTATAAAATCGTAGTGTCCGTCAATCGATAATTTCAACATAATAATTTTATTATTAGTAGCCGAAGGAAATGACTATTACTTTGATAACGCAACGGTAATTCTTCTTAATTATGTCAAGTTGTATTGTGTTTCCAATATTTTTTAACCCCATTCTATGGATAACTCGGAATTATTTTCATGGAAAATCAATACTTCGTTTGTGTGTATGCTTGAACGTCTCGTACTAATGCTCCTACCATAGAATTTATAATACTTAAATATTCAAATAATTGCTATGTTGATTAGGAAAATTTCTTGGTTCAAAATTTTCGAACGAAATAAGCGGGTTCGGTAAAAATAGTTTAACATCACGATACGTTTTCAAGTTTCAGCTAATCCTTTCCTTAACGTTTTGAATATTCATTCACAGCATAAATTATCAGAAGAAGCGAGAAGGAATTTTATTTTTGAAAGCTAAACCCATGACTAAAGCAACTCAGGTTAAGAAATACCGCGTGTCGATACTTGTCACGGCCACCCTGGAACAATCGACGCGGACTCATTTTGAGTCGCGGAATCTCGCGATCAATCCTGTCTCGCGATATTATCGGGACAAGTTGGGCGTGCAAAATAGGGGTCGATAACCTACATAAAAAAGACCAAGGAACGATCTCCATGGTCGATCCCAATGCCGCCAAATAGAATCGGTTTTAAATATAACGGCTCGACGTCGTCTCTGTATTCTCTCTCTCCTCGTTCGCCCCCTCCACCCCTACCCCATCACCCTAACACACCTTGCCTCCACCCCCACCGCGGAAATACGGCCCGATTTAGCCCCCGATGAAAAATCGTAATCGGAGATGTCGCCACGACGGAAACAACAATGAACCCTCGCTCCTACACTTGCGTCACCTCTGCCTCCCCTCCCCCGGAACACTCAATTTCTCAGAGCCCTGTATCTTAATGCCCTGCATCCTTAATTATTTTTGCAATTTATTTAGGCGAATTAGTCGCTGCATTTGCGAGCAGATTCCCGGTAGTTGATTCGCCTTTTATTTCGTTTGCCTTGGCATCTTGTAATTGATTCTTCTCGTGACGATGTCACTCTCTCCGATAAATTCTTTTCTTTATGCATGCCAATTTTTTTTTGTTTTTTCCTTTGTTTCATTTATTCAAATAATTAATTACAAGTCAACTGTAAGTATTTCAATTGTATCTCTTAAATATCTGAAAGCAATGCGTGCAGAATGATTGGTATATTTTTGCCCATTGAGCGAATATTTTCCAATAAATTGTATTTTGTAGAAATAGTTGCTTTTGGTATTAATAAATTTATTGAACTTTTTTTCTTCTTTTATTATACTTTGATTAATTATAGCTTTTAATGCTGGTTTATAATCATTATATATGTGTGTGTGTGTGTGTGTGTGTGTGTGTGTGTGTGTGTGTGTCCGTCCGTGATCGCATGCACGCGTGCGTATGCGTGTGTACAGGTGTATATGAAAAAATCTCTATTGTTCGTAAAAAATCAGTACCAAATCTTATTAGTAATTTAGCCATTACATTTGACCGATATTTTTAATATAATTTCATTAATTACACAATTAATTTTTCAACTCGTTAATTAAAAATAATAATTTTTTCGAAAACATTATACATAAATACTGCGTACTGAAGCGCTAGCAGTATTAACAAAACAAATACTTTTGCGCAATAATAAAAGGACAATAACGCGAATGAATATTCATAAAGAGTAGTTCACTCGTTAAAAGAGCTGGATAAGTGTTTGTATCCTTGAGGTAAAAGTCTCTTGACAAAAATGCTCGCAAGAATATTTCCCAATTAGTTTAACATGAAAGTGGATTTCTATTGTTGTTGTCGGGTGAGATAGTTCCGAAATGTCCAGGGCACGCGGAGGACGACGTTTATCCCTAATAAGTGTCGGCCCTCGATCGAACGAGCCGCATTTGCAAGAGCGCAAAGTAAAAAAGACTTGGCTATTCTCGAGTATGTAACCTATTTACCTCGCGCTCACCTAGAGCCCCAGGTTTTTGCCAGCCTAGTGCAGATCGATCCTCGGCCGCGGCTCAGGATCACGTGCCCATCCACAGGTCGGGGGGTGGGGCGACCAAGTCGCAGTGCCGATCAAGCAGCAGCCAGTCGCCGCGCGCCTGCCACCGTCGGCGCATCGTACAACCCGCGCACTCGTTATGTAACGCCGTTTTGACAAGTACCACAGTGTCGCACACGGATTTAATTAGTGGGTGGGATACGTGTTCGGGGGTTCTGAGAGGTCATCGCTAATTAATTCGCTTTAAACGAGGAAATCCGAGCGCTTCCGAGGCCTATGACCTGCAATTTTTCGGGAGCTCACGGCCCCGGACGGATCATAAACTAATTCAATATCATTTAATACAATAACTCAAACTCGCGACACCTCTAAGATTATTATGGAAAAATCGAACGCTAAGGTACACGTCATTACTCGCAAACCAGTAATCAACCTGCTGATTAATTCTAATTCATACATTTACCTCCTCGTTGTTTATTCAATTACACCCTACTCCTCCCCTTAGTTAATTAGCCTTGTATATTATGTAAATTTTTATTTATTTTCATCCGTAGTTAGCTCGAATGGCAATGTTTTATGTTTCTTTCAGTAAAGCGATTATACAGTTTAGTTGACAGAGATTTTCAGTATAGTCGATTAGATTGTTATTGCATGGGCTGGCTTGGAACTCATCTCGGCCTTACATATAGTGCTCCTACACATACATGACAAGCGAGCTGTGTATTCTCAACAGTTAATCATGACTAACGACAGACAGGTAAGTTTTACAATTATCATTATGCGCATTTAACGCGCGCTCAACTTTTCCTAAGAATTACACCACTCACCATTGTTTTTCTTCTCCTTCTTCGTCTTCTGTTTATTCTATAAATTTCAATACGAGTATCCTCTTCTTAATACTGTATAATCTGAAAAATTATAATACGAATTGTTTCGTTTAATTATTATACAGCATGCGTATTTATAGGCATGATTTCTCGACTTTCACTTAAAACAACGCTTGCCACGGATTTAAATGGCCCGAGTACGCGCGCCTCGCTATTTATTTTTCCATGAACGAATATTGAGGCTGTTGATCGCAGCCGCGATTCACATGCTCCACGTTTTAGCCGCGTATGTATTTAACAAAGAAAAAATATTCGTCAGCGCGCAGATCGTTCCAAAATTAACTCGAGTGAAGAAAATTGATTTCGCCCAGAGCTCATATATTTATAGTAAAGCTCGTTTAGTTCGTTCGATACCCGCGTGCACATGTGCTTCTAATTAACAAATATATCTTGTCTACATGCTGCGCTACCAACAAAACCTTTACGCCGGGGTGTCAGTTCTAATTGGCCAATTGTCAAATTGACCCTGCCCGCCGGATGTCATTAAAGTCGAGAGTCCCTCGACGGAGGCTCTCGATATCTGGGCCCCCGTCCGGGGTCTGACGTAATTCCAAAGGCACGCGACACGACGAGGAGGCCCGAGCGTCGGACAATAATCACTTGTCGCCTCGGAACTCGCATAAAAATCCCAATAATGCATCGATCGCACACATTAACGATTAATATTAGGGAAGGAGAGGTGGGATGAGGCATTTGTTTGGCTAACGATCCCTCCAAATTCAACGATCTCTCATTTTGTCGCAGTCGTGGTTCCGCGGGGTCCGGAGCAGCAAGTTTCGGCATGTCTACGGGGCCCCAGCCAAGCGCGAGAAGTGCTATGATAACATTAAAATCACGAAAAACGCCCACGACTCGCAATTCTGTGCTGTGAATCCCAAGTTTTTGGCGATAGTCACGGAGGTTGCAGGTGGCGGTGCATTCCTAGTACTACCTCTCGACAACGTAAGTACAATAAGAATATCATAGAATTTAACGTTAAATTTAAGGTAAAATAAAGCTCCACTCGATAGTTTTACCAATACTCTCTCCCCACGTTCCTTCTTTTCTTTTACTTGGCCAGTAAGTGAGTATCATAAGTTGGGCGCAGTGGTATCAATCCTTGTGAATTTTAGTGCTTACACTTGATATAATAAATGGTACTTTTTTTTATATTGGCTTTTGATCACCTAACGGCAGAGCAAAACAAAAAAAAACGTTAAAAGCAAGAAATTACCTCATTGATCTCAATTGCAAAATCTCTCAACTTAATTTACATAACAATGTGTTAATAAATTCATGAACTCACCGGAACTCATCGATGTAAAAATGGACGTTATTTTTGTCTCATCTTTCCCACCCATGCGGTCTTCTTCTATCTTCTTAAAAATTTAACAACGCGCTTAAGAAAGGGAAAAAATAATTAAGTAACGAAGCGTGGCATTAAATCGAGTCAATATAACATTTGCTGTTATTTATAAAATACAATTTAAAAAGTAAAAAATTTCTTTTTCTCCCGAGCATTAACATTCTCAGGGCTATTTGGATGAGTGCTCGTTGAAACTTAACAAATTCTCTTCCAACGTAAGAAAAGCCGTGTTGATGCTCATCCAGCCGTAATGAAAAGGCGCAAAAGGCGAGAACCGAGCGAATTAAGAGCCGCGCGTAGCAGTAGCGCATTTATCATCGGCGCGAGCCAACGGCGCATCCTCGGACTGTTAACGAGGAAAGCCAAGAGCAGAGCCAGGCGCCGATAAGGATCGCGCGAATGCCATAGCGCGAGCCTTGCATTTTTCTTTACCTTCTAATTGCGCGGTCGGCCTCCTCGACCAGTACGTGCCCCATTCGTAATCTGGCTTCGCTTAGCTAAGCAGCGCACTTTCGCTGGCCACCGTTGCTAATTGCCCGCGGCCTTTCCAGCGATGCGCACGCGATTAACGTTAAGCGCCAACTTTCATTGTCGAGGACCCGCGTTAACCATACTCGGCGTAACTACTCCTGTGCCCCTATTTGCAGACTGGGCGGCTGGATTTTAACGCGAGTCGGGTGACCGGCCATAGCGGACCAGTCCTCGACATCAAGTGGAATCCCTTCAATGACAACGTCATAGCCTCCTCTTCGGACGATTGCACGGTAAGTGCAAGTGGTAAGCAAACATACGCGGCGGCGCCCCCCCCCCGGGCATTCTCCAACAATTTAACAATTAAATTACAGATAAAGTTGTGGCATGTTCCGGACGGCGGTCTCTCGCGGAATCTAACGGACTGGCTGGTGGAGCTTCAGGGCCATAAACGCAGGGTCGGCTACATAGAATGGCACCCGACGGCCGAGAATATCCTCTTCAGCGCGGGCTTCGATCACCTCGTCATTGTCTGGGATATTGGCAAGGGCGAAGCCGTAAGCGTCATCGACAGACACCCCGACGTCATATACAGTATGTCCTTGAACAGGGATGGCAGCCTTCTAGCCACCACGTGCAAGGACAAGAAATTGCGCGTTATCGAGCCACGATCTGGAATCGTTGTCTCGGTACGTGTGAAACCACTCCCTCTCGCTCTTTATTTTTTGTTACAATAGCAGACGTTTCATTTTGTTTGCCAAGTACCGCTTTAATTCCTTCAGTATTCCACTTTTTTTATTTATAGCGCTGGTAAAAAAAAGTCCACGTGTCCTACCACTCATTTCCCCGTAAACGATCCAAAATATCCTCCACCCCACACGCCACGCATGTTAACGTACGATATTTCAATAATCAACTTGCAAGTGTATTCTTTGATCGATAGCGCAGACCGAGCTCGCCAAAGCATCTCAATCATCAAACATGAGAATTTAGCATTACTCGCGTGCCTTGCTGCGCTCTCCTTTTCGATCGTTTCTTATACAAGTTTATTCAGACCTTAATCCGTATCAGTGAACGGTAATGTGCATAGCTAACGTTAATTGAGCTATTTGATCCTCGGTTATTAAGCATCGATGTATTTTTTTTTTTTGGTTTTTGTTTTTTTTTCACGTTCTGAAGTTATCTTAATTATTAAATATTATCGAATAATCGCGCGGCAGTTCGCATCTTCTCAAAGCTCAAAATTTCAGGAGGGCATTTGTCATGCTGGAACGAAAGCGAGCAAGGTTGTGTTCCTGGGTGGATCGGGTCGCCTATTGACAACCGGATTCAGCAGGCACTCGGACAGACAGTATGCCGTCTGGAGTCAGCACGACCTGTCGACGCCGTTGACTTGCGAAACGATAGACTCGAGCAGCGGCATTGTGTTTCCATTTTACGACAATGACACCAATATGGTATATTTAGCAGGGAAGGTGAGTAGATGTTTATGAATATTCATGCGCTACAGAGCGCACAATAGGAAATCAATAACCAAGCGATAATCGCCGATCGGTTTGCTTTGCGCTACAGGGCGATGGCAATATACGATACTACGAGGTAGTGAACGAGGCGCCCTGGGTGCACTATCTCACTCAATTCATATCCGGGAATCCGCAGCGTGGCCTCGGCATAATGCCGAAGCGCGGTGTTAGTACAGCAATTTGCGAGGTCTTCAGATTTTATAAACTCCACGCAACCAGAGGCATGTGCGAGCCGATCTCCATGATCGTGCCGCGTAAAGTAGGTTGCGCAACTTTCCAATAAATTTATTAATTAAACATATTTTTTCTCACTATGGGCTTATTATTGTATCAGTTGTTTAGGCTTTGACAATCGTTAAAAGCGCTTATAGACGACGACGACGACATTTACCTTTAATATTTTAGCCTATTTTCTTTTATTATTCATTGGACATTTATCATTTAAAGACGAGTATTAGGACACAATTCTTTTATTTCTTCAACGATCTTTCTTCTTAAATATCTAATCTGTTTTTAAAGAGTGACCAATTCCAAGAAGATTTGTATCCGGACACCGCAGGTACGACTCCTGCCCTGGCAGCTAAAGACTGGATAGGAGGAATGAATAGTCCTCCGCTTTTGATATCTCTTAAAACCGGTTCGTAAATATCGTTAATATTTCAGTAATTGTCACTTTCAGTGCTATTGATAGAAAAATTTCATAGTTCTTTGATAGAGAATTTTAGTTAAAATGAATTAATGGTAATCTCCTAAAGTTCAAAAAAAAAAAAAAAAAATGATATGGTTAACTGCAGAAGAAAAATGTTATGCACTATTCATAGATGAAGTATAAAATATATTGATCAAATGTTAATTAGATCGAGCATAAAGCAAATATTTGACAATTAGTTTATATTTAAGGGGGCAGTATCACTACTCATAAGCCACGCGTATACAAACCTTCGCATTTGGCATCGGCGACGGATATGAATACGAAGAAGAAATTTGCATTCCTATCGACGGAAACAGTGCCTGATTATCGATCAATGAAATACAATGAAGTTTCGGAAAAAAGCCAAAAGACATCTAGTAATCAAAGCACTAAATTTCATCAATTACAACAAAAGTTTAATAATGTCGCTTTGCAGGTAAAATATCTAAATTGCATGAAATCGTATTTAACAATTAACGGGTGTTGTGTATACTATATTTTTAATTAGTAAATTAAATTTTCTGTATTTGTGCTGCTTGTATTGTTTGTAAAATTAGTTAAAGTATTTTTGCTTAGTATAACGAGTCAATTTAATACTCGATTCTTATATCTCCGAACTACTTTAAAAAGTGCTTGCCAAATTATATAACGAAAAAAGATTAGATAGATTTTTATTTTACTGATTTTTTTCGAATTAAAGTTGTTTGTCTAACGCACTAACACTTTGCATGGTCAACTTGAAGACACCAAGATGTAGCATCAAATTCTATGAGCTCGTTAACAAGTTTGGGAGTTATTCTCATTATTGTAAGGTAGGTTTTGGCGATTTAAATCTCTATTTTTCTTTATTATTTTATCTAATTATGCCTATTTATTATTTTTAGAATATCGAACTAAACACTGTGTGTTCTTAAAATTGTTTGCATTGTACTCCTGCTTCATATAATAATAATAATAACAACAAAAACAATTTGTTATTATCTGCTTATTATATATAATACCTGCTTGATTTCTTTCCTTCTTTCTTTTTTTTAAACAAAACTAAAATAGATACTACTATTGATAATAATAGATTCTTTATTGATGAAAAATTATTTCTATTTTTCATATAGAATAACATTGTGTCTTCAACTTTAAATGACAATAAGGTATTCGATACTGCTGACGTACCAAATAATGAGGCTGAACTTAGAATGGCTTACATGAGACAGACTGATGAGTTGAGGTTAGTGAGGCATCAACTTGCAAATAGTCAACTGCGTGTCAAAGAATTAGAAGAACAAATACGAAATCAACAAGAAAAAAGCTTATAATTATTTACTACGTATATAAATTACATACGTAATGTTTACAAAAAAAATGTATACAATATAAGATTATTATAACATTAAGATGATAAATATCATAAATGTTATATATGTTAAATATCTCGCGTTTATCGCGAAGGATATACATGTGAACAAAATTTAGGATTTCAATTCTAATGTAATCAATGTATTATGACTGATGTGTATATGGATGTGTGTAAGTGTACGCGTGCGCGCGTGTGTGATTAATTAACTTGATATTATTTGATCAAAAAGATTTATTGAATTGTATAAGATAATATTTTTATATTTAAATTGTGAAAATTTTTAAAGTACAGACAGCACAGGAATTATTTGATTACTTTTAAGGTTTTTAGCCACATAGCTAAAATAAATGAACATGGAAACTCCAAAGATTTTTCGGCATAACTAATGAACAACGCAATTATAATGAATTTATGCGTTTTTTATCCTTATTTCATGTATATTTTATTTATTTTAATGCAATAATTATATTTATTAACTAAAATCATATATGAACTTCGGAATAAAATTAAATATAATATATAATTAAACTCAAGATGAAAAAAATAAAAATAATTGATGTTTTATAATTATTCATTTTAAATAAAAATATATAAACAAATTCATGGTCATGCAATACTCTTTTAAAAAATCGAATTCTTAATAAACTAGGAAAATTTTTAAAGAATTTCATTCTATTATATAGTCTGCAAGTTGTTCGTATATCGGCATTCAACGAGATAATTTATACTTGATTAAATTAATTTAACACATTTAATAGATTTATGGTAAATTTTTTGTAATTAATTAAATTTCATTATATATATATTCATAATGGTAGCAAATAATATGATAAATAAAATATTTATATTTTAATTTTATTGAAACACGTATGTGGCGCATTTAATTGCTTAAGACTTGTCTGTACTTTTTATTTTCAATTTTTATATATCATAATAAATTAGTAAAGAAATTAATTATTGTTTAAAATCGTATAGTGCTGTAGACTTGTGATTTTTATATAATTAATGTATGCTTATATTTATATATGTTGTAAATTTTCGTAAAATATTAAGTAACAGTAATTTTATAATAGTAAGAAAAAATTACTTTTAATTTGATAAATCGCTATAGAAAGTTTAATATTATTTTTACAATTAATATGAGTCTCACTATAATACAGATACAAAAATAATGTTAAATAACAAATTAAAAAATATTCTCGGACCAAATTAAATAGTATACATCTGTCTAGTAGTGGTTATTAAATTTAAATGTATTTTTAATATTTCATCTACCATATTTCAAGTGAATTGTTATAAAAGCGAGCATAAAATTTATTGATATTCGCGTTTAGAACATACAATACTCCTTTATTAATAGATAAAAAAAACATTTATTCTAGTACAATTATACTAGAACAATATATGTAAGAAAAAGGTTGTTCAACAATTTTATATTAAAACAAAATATATTCATCACCACGGATTAAGCAAATAATGCTTTATTTACGTGAGATCATAACATTCAGTAAATTTGTTCGACAAAAAATTATTTACAAGCACCATCATAATAACTTAAATGCATAGAGTGCCTTTGCAAAATAAAGAAGACAAAAGACAATGTATTTGCGCCTATGGCTATAATTTGGTAAAGAATGTCGAACGAACTGAGCATTTTATAATTACAAATATTTTGTCATTTTTACGTCTATGTATCCTTCACAATTACTGTTAGAACTGACGTAATTAATTCGAGTAGTAGCAATAACATGGGTCAAGGTGCCAAAATTGGCCTTATAAACTAAGAGCAGTTATTTTTTTTATATCGAAACTAAAGGAGTGGCGTATTTGGCCGCTTTATGCAATCATGCCAAAGAAAAATAGTGACATGAAATTATACACAAGGGAAATATATTAAAATGGACATTATTATGACATTATTATACCCGTTTTGCAGATAATTTAACCGTTTGTTGCTGTATCTGCGCAATTACATTTACAAAGCGATAGATATTTATATGACTTTAAAGTTCGTCAATCATTTTTTAATAAAAAAAAACTGACTAAATGAATCAAAAGCATTCGAAATATAAATTATTTGTCTTATTATTCAACCTAATAAATGAACTCCACTTACAATACAAAGATATAAAATAACAGCGGGGAGAGACTAATAATTAATAATTACAAAATTATCACTTAAAAAAAAATCTAGAATAACAATTCACAGTTTTTGGACGGCAATGACAATGGCTTAGGACTAAATACTAAAATGGAGTTAATTCGTTACTGTATTCTATCGTAAAAAGAAAAATCCAAAGCCTATTGCAGACAGAAAAACATTCAGTAACGTTGACGGTAATACGATGGAGGCTGGATTACATCCATTTGAGTTGCATGTAAAAAGGCAGGTACGGTAAGTCAGTTTATCACCGGGTTGCTTTACATAGTCGCAGAAATTTCCCAAGTCCACTGATGAGCAGAGCCGCTTGGTACCAATGCCACCTACAAAGTTTCTACTTTAGTCTATTAATTATTATAAAATTAATCATTACAGGTGCAATCATAACAATTAAATTAGTTGGTCCTTAATATTCAGAGAAGATAATAATATTACATCAATCTTTTTTCCTAAGTCTTTTAGATGTACTAGAGTATTGCCGTATTATTTATTTATTTTTATTATTTATACATATACCTTCCATTCACTCTGAAAGCATCATTCATATACGAAACTATTCATTGTTTAGCTTTATGCTTCATACTTATATTCCGCATCATATCGGTCTACAATCAATAGCACACATTGCTTCTTTCTACCTACAAATACGTATTTAGGACAATTTTAATACAGTTTATGCATACATTATATGATTTATAAATTGATTTTTTGTTATTTATGAATGACAATCTCGTCATTTTTCTACCAATTTAACAGATAAATGCATAATAATAAACAACAATAATAATTAAATTTAAGATATTAAAGAAGCCCTTAAGCAATTGTCATTTTATTATCTTCTTTAAATATATACTCATGCATGAAAATGATATAATTGGCAAATAATTATTTACTACACAATAATCTAACATTACTTAACGATATCAATGCAATATTTAAAAAACAAATACACGAATGTACATAAAGAGAATTTGAAATAAATAGTAACTTTAAAATATTTACTGTTGCTTATGTGCAGTTATACATTACATTAAAAATGTGCTAAGTGAAAAACATTGATTTTTATTTAATTGCTGAATTATGAAAACCTCCATAACGTCCAACAGCTTTGACACAATATCGCGCTTCGAAAACGTAATTGCAATTTTGCGGCTGCATGTGAGCCGTCACCAATTCACTGTTCTCGCACATCCAATTATCAGCCGAAGTACATTGATAGCAATCCAATGTTAACGCTCCAAGCAGATATTAAACAAATTTGTTAGTTATGATTTGAAGCTATAAACATTTATTATTAAAATTATTATCGATAAATATGTACCATACTCTCCATTTTCCACTATTGCATAAAATAAGAACTTGAAATGGCATTTATAATAGTAAGATTCTTTATTAAATCTGTTGCGCAATTAATATTGAAAATCTAAGGAAAATGACATTTTTGCATCTAAAATTGATTTATAAAATTATGCGAAATATATTGACTTATTTGAGATTATTAAATGCTTTTTCAAGCCCTCCGTGATATAGTTAGTTTTTGTATACAATGTTAACCAAAGCCTGCTACCATAAGATTTTTCTATTAAAAATATTTGTTACCCTCGAATCGACCGACGTGCTTAATACAATACTTAGCACCATAAACGTCGTCACAGGATTCGGGTTTGATGTCATAAGCATCTGTGAGAAACTCATTGCACAAAAAGGGTTGTGAACTGTTTGTACTCACACATCGATAACATTCTAGACCATGTGCTATATATATAAAAAAAAAAAAAAAAAAAAAAAAAAAGACACACAAATTAATAAATAAATTCATAAAGTAAAAATTAAAAAGAAAGATTAAATTGTTCGTAAACATTATTAAGAATTATAGTTTTTTTTCAATATCTGTTAATAAATAAAATAAAAGTTGACCAAAAAATATATATTATGTAATATGAAATCTGATTCATTTTCATCTTCATCACAAATTCATCTTCAATGAAATAAGTGGCGATAGCATATTATAAATCTCTTAATACAAGAGCATCCAAGTGTGAATGAACAGATAAAGAGCTTCAAAATTAATTCAGTTATCATTAATTTACGATGAAATTTATAATTAAATTACATTACAATTTTTATTGAGATTAAATCTCACACATGTATACGGATTTTACATGCGATAATATAATCTTAAACACTTTTCACCTAAAATGAATAAAATCAAACAATTATATTGGCCATTGTATCTTTTCCAATGTATTTTTGAATTTCTATTAAACGTTTATAGATTACAGAATTAAATAAAGTAAAATAAGATATTAAAAACAAACAATAATTTGGAAATGGAAATTTTTTTAATTAATTCCAATTAATTTATACATTAAAAACTTATGCGATTAATATTAATGTTCTTTATTATATTAGTATCAAAAAATAAATTTTGATTATTTGCAAACGACATGCAAAGTATGTAAATAGAAAAATTTTATTTGATATTTTTAACAGTATTATTTTATATTCATATTTCTTTGTTAAATAATTTGTGTACTTTAATTAAAATTATCTTTATAAAAAAAAAAAAAAAAAACGAAATTGCTAGTTATTAGAAGAGTAAATAGTTTCCTTAAATTAAATAAAGTTGAATCACTTATTAATTAAGATCCGGTAATTAGTTTTGAAACTAAGTAACTTTAGGACATGTAGAATAATTATAATTAGTTCTGCTTTCCATCATTAAATATTCCGATATTAAAGATAATATTTACTTTAAAAAAATTATAAATAATTTTTTTCAGGGATTACGAAAAAAAAATAAAAATACAATGTAGATATTTACATTATTATCCAAATAAGTAATTTCTTTCAATTATTTATATTTTATAATTTATTTTATAATTAAATTGTTATGTTTTATATAAAGATAATGTTAAATGTATAATAATTTAATATTAATTTAGTTAAGGTACCTTACATTTTAAAAACAGCATTGGAAATTGAGAATAAACGTGCGAAATAATGTTAATATTTTTTTATATTTAAATTAATATTTAATTACGTTAATGTGCTTTTATACAACATTCAAAATAAAATATCTGATCTTATTATTTGAATCGAAATATTAACAACCAAAATTAAGTTACATTTTTTTTCAATATATTAAATAACAGAATATCATGCACATCTATAAATCATTATCTTTCCAAAAATTTTAATAAAGATATAACGTGTCATACAAAAAATACTAATAAAATAGTCATTATGTAAATCAACGCGTTAAAAGTCTTTAATAGCTCTGACATGACAAATAGGTAAATAATATATAATGTAATTATAATGAGATGATTTTTATATAATCTATAAATAAACAATAAATCAATCATTTATAATCTAAATTAATAATTTTTACTGATAAAAACATTGAAAATATCAATATTACATACTTTTATTTTGCTTTAAATATTAATTTAAAACATTAATTAAAAATAATTATTTAAAATAATAATTAAAAATAATGAGACAATTATAAAGTGTAATGATGACTAACTCGACAGGAGACATTATAAATTATACACTAATTTTTGTGAATAAAATTAAACTAACCGAGCATACGTTTTAATCATCATTCTTACATTTGTATTTAATAAATATGTATTAAAATTATTTTATTAAAAAAAATTTTCTTTTTCTTTTACCTATTTTAACATCAATTTATGTATAAATTCAAATATTTGCATTTGTAAAAAATTTTAGTACAATTAATTGTCTTCAATTTTATTGTATGTATATAATAATAATTATTATTTTTATTTGTTCACAGTCTGTTTAGGTCTTTATTTTTATAAATTAATGCAAGTCATGAAATAAATAAGAATACATATCAATCTTTTAATTGTACAAATATCGGTGAAAATAATATTTAATTTAGAAGCAGTTGATGATACTTCATTTGAAATGAATATATATAAATTTTATAGCCATTGAAAATATAATAATTACGTGGTTGCTACGGTAAAGCAGAAACATAGCGATCTGAAAGAGAACGATAAATGTGAATGAAAAGAGACAATAAAGGAGAGAACAGTCAAAGCAAACATCAAAGTAATTGTCATAATTATAAAACGATATTCTATTTTTCATAAATTTCTATAAGTAAATAAAAAATAAATACAAAATGGTATTTACTAGTATTACAATTTTAGACGATAATAATGATTATTAACGATTAATACTTTAAATTTGAGAAACATAATTATTAAATTGAATATTAATGGTAGTGTTAATTTTTCAGCTACATGTTTTTATCACATTTCTCAGGCAAGTAAAAATAATTTAAGGTTAAAAAGTGCTTTCTATTAATTTTCAACTAATCTAACGGATATCGCGAATCGAACGTAACCAACAGCGACGAAAAAAGTAATCGAAATATAAAACAATTTGCTCGTGATTTTCATCTCTAAAAGACTACACTATTGTAGCACACGACCATGCAGGAAACGATAGATTTTTCCATTATCATTCCATTCTTTGAGAAAAATAAATCACCACACAACGATCATGATATACGAGATTCATCATGCCTCGTTTCCCAACGAAAATGAAAAACGAAAGAAAAGGAGAGAAAAGAGAGAGATGGATGATGATCCAGTCGAGTCGCTAGCAGAAATGCTATTAGTACTCGGGCAAAATAACGAGCAACGGACGCGGGAAAAATATCGGGTGGAAAGGCGTGGGTCGGTAGTCGGTGGTCGTTATGTCTGTCGCGACGCGTCGCCTTGCCGTTGGGATCGGCAAGGGCCCCGCCCAAACACCGCTATGACTCACCTGTTTGGAAGGTGAGAGCGAGAAGCGCGAAGAGCGCGAGCCTACGCCCGGCCATCTCTTAAAAGCACTCCGGTGTACTCCACGAGGACGTCGTCCGCGTCGCTGCAGCTGTTGCTCGATGTCAAACTGTCTCTTCGAGCACGAGCTGCGCCGTTGTTCGCGAGCGACTAATGCACGATGCGCCTTGATCTCTCCCCCTCCCTCCCTCCATCCCCCGCACTGCCAAGCCCCCGCTCCGATCTACTTGCGGCGGCCCGATCGCGAGGGAGGGACTGCCGATCAACGAAGGACACCTATCGGCGACTCCTGATTACGTGGCGATAGTTGCCGATAAAAGTTTGTTTCGCCCGACCGGGATCACTAGCCGAACAATTAACGGTATGACGATTTTTTGATCGCACGTTACCTGGTCCTATCAGAGTCTTACGGATGATTAGATACAAATCATCGTTTTGTTATTTAAGGCTCAAAATCTTTCTTATGTTTGAAGAGTTCCTAATGTATCCTTCTAATCGACTGTTAAGTAAAGCGTGAGCACTTATCTTTAATTAATTTTCAAAAAAGAAGACAATTTTTTGTTGATAGCATTAACAAACCAGATTATTTATGCGTAAGTGCTTAAGTACTTAATCGTATTGTAGGTCTCCAATTTTAATGAAACGAAATTTTTAAATTAATATAGTTTGACAATCGTTCATTGTCACCGATATAATAATTCGATTATAAGATTAAAACTTATATAAACTTTCATTCAATTACGGTAATCTTGCGAAAAAGCTTAATTTTTTATTTTATCCTTTTAGTCGAATAGTTCTCTTTTCTATTGAAATGATAATTAAACGAATAATCATTTTCTACGTTGATTTTTAATCCATAATTGTATTACGTAGAAACATCCAGATCTTGTAATATGTTTCATCTGATTTATGTTATTCGAATTATATATATCAACGTTCGAAATTTCTAAACTAAGATGTAAATACGATTATTTGTGAAATTTAATCGTAAACTTAACTATATAATCTTTAACCATTTTAACACACTTTTCATATAAGAAAATTTTCTTCACCTAAACACATGCTAAATGAATGTTAATTTACATAAACGTCGCTTTAAGCTGCTATTTGACATATTAATCAGCATAAATATGATAAAAATCTCATTATAATACATTAAAGCCAATTATGTTCAGCTATGTGCTGATTTAGGAACTCGGAAGATTACCCGTCATGAAATTTATTTAATATTTTATTGATTTTTTAATATTCACTTTAAAATTGATCGTAAAGTATTTAAAAATTTATTAAACGTTCTAATAAAATTTTATATTGATAACTATCTAATTGAAGGTTTTGACTTCTTTAATTTTTTTCAATTAGAATTATAATGATTAATAATATATTGCCTATCGATTAAAAAATTTGATAGACGTAATGAAACCAAATTTTAAAAACCAATTATTAACAAATATTTGTATTTTTTTTAACTAAAACTTAAGAATTTAAGCGATTTTTTTGTTAAAAATTCAAATTCATTTACAGAAAAGGTGCAATATTATTAAATATATCTAATTTAAACGTTAAAACCAAAAGAAATTAATTCATCATTAATTATATGTATTTACATTACTTTTTGTAAGTATAATTGAAACGCCAAAAATTAATGAATCAGTAAATTGTTTATTATGTTTATTATATTTAAAGTGCTAGAAGTAATAGAAAAATGAATTATTTGTTTAAGAAGATTGAAATAATATTGCATAGATAAACATTTATATTATGAAAATTAAAATTAAAAATTATAAAAAAAAGTTTAGATATAAATAAAGTTTTTATTTTGAATACCTAAAGTAAAATACTGATCATGATAACGATAAATATAGGAAATAAAAAAATAAAAATTCAAATTCAAAATCTAAAATTATACTGTATATAATCTATGTAAAGAATTGTATTTTTTATCTTTAAAAATTTTTATTAGATAAATTTTTCTAGAAGGATTTTTTCAATTTTGTTTACAATTTTGTATAATATCGTTATTTGCTAACAAAAACTTTAATTGTGCAATTTTTTTTTCTTTTTTTGAGTGTTTATCAACTTTGTAACATTATTCAATGATGATTCGCCAAATTCCTTTTTAAATTGATGACGTATTTTTGTTAATGCTATTGTTTTTATTTTTTTCGATCCTTGTTTTTTAATCATTGTTGTTTTTGCATAAAACTTTGATTTCTTCGAAGTATTGTTTACAGGAATTTTTTGTTCGATCATCTTGGTTTTATTCATTTTACTTTTTGTTGAATACTTTGGCTTTGCATTTGCTTGAATTTGCTTTTGTATTAAAATGCCTTGTTTAGATTTAGATTTTACGTGCGTTGAAATTAGTTGAGATACAATGGTTTTAGTCTTTAAATTATTTTGTTTACTTTCATTAATATTATTTTGAATATTTCGATTTTTGATCTGAGAATGTCTTTTACGACTTTTTATCTTCCTAACGGTTCCAAAAATATTGGAAGTGCGAAAAACTTCACAAGAATTAGTTGGAAAATTAAGGTTATTTTCCGATATATTTTTTGTACCGGTTTTTTTACCGAAGTCTATCATTTTAACTAATTTATCAACTGTTGACTCTTGAGAAAAATGAAATTGATCACCAGCATTATTCTGTAAATTGAATATGTTGATGATTACAAAAAAAAATTTATTCTATGTACAAAACTACCGCAAACAAGAAGGATAACAATGAAACAAATCAATATATATAAAAATATTATATTTGTCAACACTATGGCTACAAAATAGTATAAATTATATTTTAATGCGTACGTTCATATATACATTAGTGTATATAGAAAATTGCTATTGATTTAGAATTTATTATTATACATTTTGCATATATACATAAACACATGCATACGTACTTGCATACAACATATATATAAATATACATATATATATATACATACACATAATTTATATATATGCACGCACATATAGTGAAAATAATACATTAAACATATTTTTAATATTTACAAATTTTTTTTGAGTTTTTGAACACATCAAATTTTCAGTCAATTGCATTTTGTTATAATAAACAAAGTGTTAAAAATATAAAAAAATGTTAACTATTTATTATGCTTATTATGTTAATGATACTAAGCTACAGACTTTTTAATTATTTACAAATATAAATAATATTTGAAAATAAACTTTAATATCATATTCCGAAAATAACTTAAATGAAATTTATATAAATCTTATAAAATGTGTTATTTCACATCAACACTAAAATTGGATTTATTCCATTTTTATCCACAATTTTTGGAATAAAATGTTTTTGTTCAAATTAATTATAAAAGTCTCAAAGCCATATTTCATATAATAAATTTTAATTTTAAATTATTTATACTAATATTAAAAATAATATTAAAGTGAAAATAATAATAAGTAGTAAATGTCATTATTGTTAGCATATAATATCTAATAAGTCATTAATATAGCTATCATTACCATATGTAAGCTGTAAGCTGTTGATTTACAATTTTTAACTTTATATTTTTAATGAAAATTAATTCAGATATAAGTTATTGTTTTGCTAGATAAAAAAATAATAATCGTTTAGTTTTGATTTATCATATATCATATAGAATTAACAAAATATAATATCTGATAATTTGTTTTATGTAATATACAATTTTAAAGTGTAAAACTTTTTTTATAAATAACCACAAGGAAGCCCTTGACACAAGAAATATGAAAACTAATTCTTGAATTTATGAAATACATATTAACTAATGAGTATCATTGTTTTAAAAAATTTTTACCTTAAATTATACATAATTACAGATTATTTTACTGCAGATCTTGTAAATATTAAAATTTTTAATTTATTAATTAATTTCTATTAAAAACAGTTATTTCAACTTGATTCGATTAATTATAATAAATAATCTTTAATTATAATTCTATAACTGTATAAATTTTATTATTTAAAATTATTTAAATAATATATAATTAAACTTTTCAACTTGATTTATAAAATGTAATAAGTAATTTTACACTTTGGCTGTATAAAAATTAATTTTTTTTTTAAAATCAATGTTCCATACATATTAATGCATTAATGAATATTAAATGGTGGCCATAAGGCACAAAATTGGCTTAATAATTTGGTCAGCATAGGACGCATTGTCTTATTTCATCATTTGTAACATCATTAACACCAATAGTATCGTTTTCTGTATCAGAAAGATTTACCTTATGCAAAGGTTTACTCATTGTTGCTTGGTAATTAGAAGCAGATATCAATTTTAAATATGCTTGAAGAGCTTTTAATGAACGATAGTGACTATTTGGTATTCTGCTATTAGGATTATTACCAGTCATGTCAAGAATTGATGGTCCAAGAGCTGCTCCAACCTGTTTATTAAGATTAAAATTTACGTTTTTTAATTATTTAATAAATTAACCAGGAAGAATTATTGCTTACTTCTTCAAAGACCATTGGAGTATACTTAGGTGGTACAAATAATTGGTTGTGACACTTTTGTAATCCTTCTTTAATTCTTGGAGGAATAGTATTAACTAATCGACCAGTATTGTAATTACATTCCAAAGTGTAACTGTAGATCATACCAGTTAACTTATATACAGCCACTCGACCCGAACCTTCGCGAGATAGACCATCCCGTTTATCACTATATCATTTATTTTCATACATTTTTGAAAATTATTAGTATTTTTATTAATATTTTAATGTAAGCATTTAATTATGTATACATACATTAAGTACATATTTTTTTCAGCAAAATTACATGATGTAAAGTGAAAATTAGGATTGTTCAAAGACATCAATTTGGGTAATAGCATGCAATCTGCTGCTTCTTCTGGATCATTAAAATGGTTACCATACATAAAAATTCCTTTTTTTGATGCATGACCATGAAAATCAATATATAAAAATATTCCAGAATCATTTGAAGATTGTTTAACATTTCCAGTTGAACTTATTGTCATACCCTCGATATTTCCCACGTTATCAGAACAATTCGATTGATTTTCTAGGCATTCTTAATTATTTAAATTAGAATAAATTATTGTTTTTGCATCATAAATTTTTTTAATTGTTATTATTTTTTGTATCAAAACTTACGCATTGATTTTTCTGCGACTGGGGCTAAATAATTTTGTATATGATTTCCATGCTCTGATGATTTCTGGTTTTCATCATAAGATATTGTATTTACCTATGAATAAATTCATAATTAATAATTATACACTGTTTCAAACATACATATATATATATATATATATATATATATATATATATAGAGCTTAAAATAAATGTCACCTTTTTAAAAGTTTTATCTTCTTTTGGATTACTATTAATACAACTGGTAGAATTGTAAGTACCTATATTTTTCTTGTTTATACTTTCTGGAACTGGATCATCTAGCAAACTGTATCCATTATGATAATACCTAAAATGTATTACAATGATAAAAAAAAAAATTTTTGTATTACATTAATTAAAATCAAAACCTTAGTAGGGTTTTTGCTGCATATATTGTTGGATGTTCAGACTTTGATGGATTTAAATACAATCGATTGAGATTAACGCCTTTCGTATCCATACGATAATAGCCATGAGATACACCATCTGGATTAAGCATTGGTATTAATTTAAAAACATAAAGACGACGAAGAATAATTGCTATTGGTTCTTCTCGATTTAATATGAAATTTAAAAAGCCATTTAAAACAAAACTGGATGGTGTTTCCCCAGGATGAACTCTTGCACTCAAAAATATGACCTAAAAGAATTATAATGATATGAGGGATCTATTTAATGAATATTATATATTAACCTTAAGAAAAAATTACTTTTTTATCTTTAAATTTATAAGGTCTTTTTTCATCTTGCTCTGGATATAAGCCTTTGATTTTAGCTTCTCTTTCTGGTAATATATTATAAAAAGAACTTATTGTCAAAACATCTAGTCTTCGTCCTTCTAAAGATTTTATTGCACATTCCTTGTGGTAATAAATATCATCGGCAACATTTCCTATTCGCTTTAACATTTTTGTATCTATTCTCTTTAAATAATTTTGCAAGTCTGTATATGAAAATGGATATGTAAATGCAAAATAAGTAATTGCGTTAGAATTTTCTGATGTTTTATAAATAAATGATAATATAAATTCATTGCTTTTTTCATCTCCCTGTAATAATTAATAATTGTATTAATATTTATTTAAATCAATAAATTAGTGAGAAAAAATATATATTTACTGAAATAGTAGGCTTTTCTTTTATCCTTTCCCAATGGGGATGTCCTGGTATTACTTTATAAACAGGGGACATTCCTTGGTTAAACATCTTCAGCTGTTTGTTCAAATTAACTAAGTTAAGTTTAACATAGATTCCTGGTATTGCCGATTTAATACCAAAATAAAACCAAGTTCTATTATTATTTTGGAACTCTGTACCTTGGCAATCTTGTTTTGTCCAAAGATTAAATTCATCGCTAGGGCATTCACTTTGTGATTTATTTTTGATAGTTTTGTTATTTTCACTTTTTTCTGCTAAATAAACATTTATTGTTCGGATCAAAATGCTTATTTAAATCATTTGTTAAAAAAAATTTTAATTCTTACTATTATCAGCCTTGCTATTATCAACTTTTTCAACCTTTGCAAGATTTGCAGAATCAAAGTTATTAAAAAATATAAAATCTCCACATTCTATGTTCTCTTCCATACTTACTAAATTTTCAAATTATCTGAAAAATATTAACCTCATTTACATTCTCGCTCTTTATGCGAAAAAATTAAAATCAATTATATAACTAACGTACTTGGATATCAAATATGCATAAAACGAAAATATTATTCTTAATTTACATTTGACTAGCATTACATTATAATATAATTAAACTTTTAATAAAAAATCGTAAATCAAAAACATGGTTTTATATAATCTTTGTGAGTGCTCTCTTGATGATAAAAGAGCCAACGATCCATTTTGCTTATCGACGTTATATTTTATAAAATTAAAAAAATTAACTTTTCTTAACATATTTTTATTTTATTGTTTTTTCTGGAATTATTATTGTGGACGAGTCCATGTCTTGGACCAAAGTGACGCCAGCCTGAGACTTACGACATGAACGACGGTTCGTTTGTTGTGCACTGCAGCGCTACCGATTATGCTTATGTGCCATATCTATATCATTTGCCCTGTATCGCTGTTTTTCTTTAAAAAAAAAAAAAAAAAAAAAAAAAAAAAAAAATAACGATATACGAATTTACGAATTTCGACTTTCATGCACAGAAATGTTTTTTATAAGATTATTAAGGTAACTTGGATGTAATTCCTTATGTATTATGGAAATCGCTAGATTTTCATAAAAACATATTTTGCCTTCTAGTAGTCATAATACATTTCAAAATTTAGAATTGGAAAACTTAAATGGTAATATAATACCAACTAGCTAATCACATAGTATGGCTTTATTCTAATTCCATACCGAAATAATAAAATAATATAAACTTTTGGCTCTATATTACCTAATTAAAGATGTTATTAAATATAAAATAGTAACATCAATTTCTAGCACAAATAATATATCTATAAAAAACAATTATCATTTAATTTTTTTTTCAGCAGTTTAACAAGTCTTATGATTGGAAGATACATATAGTTGAAGGCCCATATAATCAATGGTCGCAAAATGTTGAACACTCCAACTTCCTCTAGCTGTGCGATGTAGTATACCGCCAATTACTCGTATACCTGTTCCGACTCTCTCTCTCTCTCTCTCTCTCTCTCGAAACATTATAATGCATTTTTATATTTTTATACGAATACCGGTTCCAAATTATATTATTCCATCTTATACAACAATTATAAAATTGTCAATTTATATGTTTTTAAGATGAAGATGAAGATATGTTATTGTTATGGTTTTTATCCACGTTTTAAAACTCCAAAAGTGAGATTGAATCTCAGTTTAAACACAAATATTCTATCATCGGTTCTATCATCAACGTTCCCGACTCAGTTGTCTCACAACCAAAGCATCATGATGTAGTTGATAACGTTGAAGCACTCGTACTTGCTCGCATTTTTGTATCAATTGCATAAAAAAATCATAATATTTATAAAGTAAATTTTGCACTTTGCAAGTGCACTTTGCAAGTCAAACACTGTATTCGAATGCAATCCCAATTTGATTCGAACTTGTTGAGATCTGCGTCTTTAAACAGGTTGCGTTTGATCCCTGCACTTTAATAAGCGAATATAACTTCATTATTGGTTTTGACATAACAGGAAGATTATGTCTGTGCTCTGTTTGATGATCGGTGTTGCTGCATGTTTGCGGCCATTAAAAGGCAAAATGAAGATGATGGAAGTCGTTGATATTAACATAAAGCTGGATGCGGTGTATACTCCACATACACTGATAAGCTCTATGGAGATGCTAATACTTTCAACATTTTTCCACATATACCCGTCCTATCTGCCTAATTTCTGTTCGGTACAACAACTTTACAACAACCCAGGCCACTTTCTTCCGTTTTAAGAAAGAATCCACATAATACGTACGAGACTTCTACTTTACACCGCAAAATATGCACACACCGACAGGATAGTTAGTAATAGTTAACAACATTTTTCACATGCGAGCACCCTTTGCACTACCGGTAATCGTATTTTATAGTACGAATTTTTGCTTAATCAAACGGCGTAGATTTATCGCAACGCCGATCCCTTGATTAATGTAATAGCTGACTGAGTACGGAAGTTCAACTTTCATTGAAAAGTTGATAAAATTGATTCCGTACTATATGTTTGATGCTGTCATATGTTAATGTTGATCACATGTTAATCAAAGCTCTTTTGGTAATTATTCATACTACAAATCCCCGATGCTTTTTGATATTCAATAGATTTTAATGTAATTCGTGTACTCGATGCATGATATTTTTTTCTAAAGAAATACATTGTAACAAAATTAATAAACAATAAAAATAAACATTTTAACATTTTTAAATCTAACACTGTTTAAATATAATTTCATCTAGAAATTATTCTTAAAAATTTTGTTATAATTCAAATTAAATGAAACTCTCCAACAAAAAACAATTATTTTTATTATATAAATAAATTTTGTATATAATAAACAGCATCTTCGTTACGTTGTTTTATTATTTTATTAACATTATAAAATTTTAAATTCCCGCTAAATAACAAAATGATCGATAAAACGGTGAAGTCAGTAAGAAGTCAAAAGAGCGATAAAAACATTTATTAAAAATATATTTTTTTATTCAGTATATTAAGTTATTGAATTTTTAAAACTTATAATGAAAATTAAAAGTCACTAAAATATTAGAGTTAAAAATTTTTATTCTTACTATTCTCTCTTTTACAATTATGTGATATTGTCATTTACGTAGTACTTCCTTTTTCTTCTCGCATGGCAGATTAGCTCGAGAAATTCATGATACAACTGTTGGTGTAATTGACTTTCTATAATATATCTCAATCATGCCCAAGAATAAAGGTAAATATATTATTTATATTATTTAAATATCATTGTGGTTTAATCTCGAAATGTAATATAAATCTATGTTCTTATTATTTATGTAAACTGATATTGACGTTAACCATAAACATATATTGTATATTAGATTATAAACAGAGTTTATTTTTTAATATATTTTATTATGCTATTAATATTTTTGCATTAATTCACTAGGAAAGGGAGGTAAAAATAGGAGGAGAGGAAAGAATGAGAATGAAACAGAAAAGAGAGAATTGGTTTTCAAAGAAGATGGTCAAGGTGAGATACATAATAAATCTTTTTGTGTGACCATGAATCCAAAATTTATTGCATTTTCATGAGATTCATTAGGAAACATTTAATATTAGGTGATAAATGAGTAAAGTTTTGTGTTTTTGTATGTAGAATATGCACAAGTTACCAAAATGCTTGGAAATGGACGTTTAGAAGCAATGTGTTTTGATGGAGTAAAACGATTGTGTCATATTCGAGGAAAGCTTCGTAAAAAAGTGTGGATTAATCAAGGTGACATTATTCTTATTGGTTTACGTGATTATCAGGATGCTAAGGCAGACGTTATATTAAAGTACACTGCAGATGAAGCAAGAAATTTAAAGACCTACGGAGAATTCCCAGAAACTGGTATATATAATTCTAATTTTTTATTTTTCACGGAACTTATATTTTAACTACACACATATGTACATAATGATGCATTTGTTACAGTCCGTATAAACGATACAGTCACCTTCGTAGAAGATGGTTTTGATGAAGATATTGAGTTTGGTGATGAAATTAGCGATGATGATGAAGATGATGTGGACAATGTAAGTATTAAAATTGTTTTTTAATGAAAAAATAATGGAGTAATGTAACATATATTATTTCTAACCATTTTTATTAATTTATTCCAGATGTGATGATTTATAATTTTAAAAATATATAGAATGTAATATCAGAAGTATATTAACTACTATGTGAAAATGCTAAACCATTTGCTATTCATATATAACTTATATCAAATGGTCTTTATCATTTATTTGAAATAAATTGCTTCAAGTTTTTCTAGATTCAAGTTATAGTCTTGTCAATGAAAGATCTTGTTTTCGAAGTTAATTCCATTGAAAAATAGATACTGGTTATTTTATTATGTGAATATTAAACTTATGTTACTTTTGCTCTAAGTGAGGTGACCATATTTCTGTCAAAGCGTGGTTAATAGCTTTGATTATAAGATGTAAGAAAGTTATTTGTACAATTATAGCGTAAAAACGATCAATTTTACGTTCACAATTTTTAAAAGTTTTGAAATTCAATTTGAATTATTTTGCAAAAATTATTGTATGGTGTATCAGTTAAAATAACTGAAATCAATAAAAAAACTTAAATATTATTTTGTTAATTTATTATTTTTTAAATGCAAGATTGAAGTGATTATATGATTGGATAAATATGGAATGAAATTGTGACAGAACAAAAAATTCATTGTGTATATAAGAAATATTTTTAAATCTTGGTCATTTGTTTTAAAAGCTTTATAATTGAAGGTCATTTATAACAAACATCAAGGTGATTATAGATATATACTATAAATTCTTTGGTCACGATCCAAGTATTTTCAATTATTGATTATGTTTTATTTGTTAGTTTTGTAGATTAAAATTAATTTTATTTATCTAATTGAAGTTTTGTATTTATAATAATATATAATTAACAATAAATATCAGAATACTCAGAAAAAAGTTATTTATTTTTTCTTTATTTAATAAATTTACTTAATAAACCTTAATCAACAATATATGATCTTTAAATATCTAAAGTATACAATTTTTATAAATTCAAATAGTTTTATTAGTAAACGTTGAAATTAAAAACCAGCAAATGTTAAAATTTATTTTTAAATATTATCTTCATTATATATAATTATATATAATTATACTTCACTAATTTTTTAATTTTAAACGTATGTCGATTAATTAACACATCAAATTTAAATAAAAATATATTAGAAAGTTAGATGATTAAAGCGATAACAAAATAATGGAATAATCAAAATTTTTATCTCTGACATACCATAAGAAGGTTAATAAAATATTAGTTTTAACATAGAATATAGAATAACAAGAGTAAAATTGAATAAAATTTTTTTTTTTTTTTTTATTATTCTTAAGCAAACATTTACATAACAAATTTTTGTAATTGGCAAAACTTTCTACAAAGTATAAGTTTTAAAGCTTACATTATTTACCTTTTATCTATAATATACAAACCAATGATATGATTTAATGAAGTAATACAGCTTTTTTGCAGTATTTGTGAACAATCGGTTGATTTACTTTATGCACCACTCATAAGACTACACAATAACTGTCGCAGTTAAATTCAATAATGATATCAGCTGGATAACTGGTATGGTATTGCATCATAATTATTAAAAACAATTGAAAAATTTCGTCATTAAAATTGTTTTTAATATTTTTTTTTTAAATAAAAAATTTTTTACATATATTCTGTTTTCAGTGTGATATAATTAATTCAACGTGTGAACATAAAATATAAAAAAGTATTTTATTACTTCATTTTAAACTCTAATAATCCGACGATTAATTATATAGATTATAAAAATTATCTATTCGAAAGTAAGTTAATTATTGTTAGGAGAAGTTCTATCTAAATATTCTATATGGATTAAACGAATCATGTCACGCTTCAGTGAAAATACCATCGTCGGCCCATTGAACATAAACTTTTCCTATAATCAAGAATTTTTATAAATAGTTGTATAAAAATATTTTTAATGCTTCTAATAATTATTGAAAAAAAGACATTGTTAGTTCTAGATGAAATGGGTAATTTAATAATCATTTTCATAATAATATAAATAATATAAATAATACTTACCGTATCGCGAATTATTAATATACGAAATAAAATAAAATTAAAGATATTCTTTGCACTACCCTTTGTGATTTATACTTTTTTGTAATTTTTAAGTATTCTTTTAGATATATTTTTAAATAGATTGAAAATATTTTAGTTTCTAAGCTATATCGCATTGCACAGCTATCGTTTGTCTTTTTATTACAAATAAATAAATAATTTTTTGTTATCTCTAACTATTTTTTAAGCTTTCCATTCATTATTGAACAATGACTTATTAAATAATGATTTTTGTTATTCCATCATTTATAACGATTGTTTAGAAAATTAAAAATATTAATTCAAAATGTTCAACGATATATGATATTATTGCAATTATATTGTTAAAACCTGCTTGAGGATTCATAATTTGTTACTAAAATATTAGATACAAATAAATTAAACAAATTGACCGTTGCAAATGAAAAAGTATCCAAATTGTATTTATAATAAAAATACTTGTCTGTAAAGAATGAATTATGCAAATGAAATAACATCATTGTAGTTCAAACTTTAATCGTGTTCCTATATTTAGAAGACAGCGAAGAATTCAATTTTTTAAATTTGAATTGTCATACATAATAGATGAATAATAAATTATAAATATTATTAATAAATATTATAAATATTTCATCAATAATAAATGCCTTTGAAATTTACTTTAATACAAAAGGAAAAAGAAAAACATTAAAATTTTATATGCAATTTTTAGATCAAAGTAGGGGAGAAAATAGTTATACGAGAGAGAGAGAAAATATACGAATATCTCTTACAAAGTTTCTTCTACAGCTACATCTCGATGAATGATCTACACCGCATATAACAGAAACTTTCTTATAAACAAAATTGATATCGCAGTGTTGAGTCTTTTTAATGTGGCATGACGAGTTGAAAGAAAATAAAATTAATATATTATAGATGAGAAGGCGTTGTTTTGTGTGTTACATATTGAAATACGTATTAGTAGAAGCATTTTTAAGACTTTATTAGTATCATGTGATTGTGCCTTTGGTCCTTAGTTTGGGCGGGCTCTAGGCAAGTCTATTTTGAATGCAGCACAGTGGACATTATACATTATAATTTATAAATTTTGAATTTGTAGATATAATTCATTTTAATATAATATCTTGTATATTAATATAATATCTTTATACTAGAAGATTTCTAAAGATAATTTTATATTTCGTACGTTATTTTTCCTCTCGTTAATATCGCGATTTTGTCAATTACTTGACATTGTTACATTAAAAGCTAACGTCTCTTACGATATAAAGTCAAATATTCTTAATCCTTCAAGGTCATCAAAATTGTTAATTTTCTTAATTATATCCAACATTAAATATATCCAATTTTCAGCATCAAGAGATTAAAAGTTTAACATTTAAAAAACAATCACCTTATCTCCATCGTTCTATAAATAATAAAAATATTCACCATGCCATAAAATTGCATAATTATTACAATAGCAAAATCGTACATGTATATATATATATATATATATATATATATATATATATATATATATATAATTTATGACTAAAAGTAATTATAAATATACACAATGAAAAAGATTGTTAGGCATATACCATTAAATAAGTCAAATGTACATAATTATTCGTCGCTTCGATCGTTAAAAACACGATGCCTTGCCATTGCCTCAAATCAGAAATCTGCAATTATAATCATAGCAATATAGTTAAATGATAAATAGGATCTCTATTTATTGTGCTTTATTTTTATGCTTTTTTGCTTTGTGGAATGGCAAGTTTGCATACATATATAATTGCTCAACGCTTTTCTCTTAGAAACATTATACGATTGCGCGGGAAAGCATAATATATAATCTTCGTTTTTTTTATTTCGTTCACCGAAAGCCGAAGCTCATAATAGAATCTTAAAGTCACAAATTAACAACGATCGTCCGTACGTCGATTACAATTGTCATTAAATCATCGAATCGACTTTATAGTACTCGATTCAAATGTTATGTGTTATAAGTTTGATTCTGTTTACAACTTGATTCTAGTACTACAATTCTTTTTAACGTTTCAGCACTCTTCGTCGTTTCATCCCTTTATTCTCTGTATATTTTATGTGTTTTATTTTGTGTTTTTGTTTGTTTTTTATTTTTTGTTTTTTGTTTTGTTTTTTGACTTTCATTGCTTTTATTCGAATGAAACGTTACATGGACGGGCTGACGTAGTGGGAGACTAGCGTAGCAAAGCTAGTCAAACTAGCTATAAGTTATCGTCGCGCGAACAAATAAGGCTAGAGAGCAGGACAGGGCAACGAGAAAAGCTTGTTTATTAACTTTGTGGATAAAACTGTAATATTTTTTTGGTTTTTGTGGCATTTTTTACTCATTTACAAAGTAATAAACGACTCTAGGCCAAAATTAGTCATTCCTGTCTACATTCGTGGTAACACCACGCCATAATATTTTATTTATATATAATATATGCCAAGAGAACGAAATTTCATAGGCGCAATTACAAATTTTGTCCTTCCGTTCGTCAATGCATATTATATTACACACAAGCACACACCCTCGCGCGCATACACACACATGCGCGCGCATGCACACAGGCCCCTACATACATAAGCTCGCTCGCGCACACACACACGCACACACTTATATACATTTGAATGTATATGTTGGTGTGTATGCACGTGCTTATGTATGTATGCATGTGCGCGGGCGCGTGTGTACGCATATTGATTTATTTGTTTGTTTGTTTGTTTGTTTGTTTGTTTGTTTGTTTGTTTGTTTGTTTGTTTGTTTGTTTGTTTGTTTGTTTGTTTGTTTGTTTGTTTGTTTGTCTTTTGTTTGTTTGTTTGTTTGTTTGTTTGTTTGTTTGTTTGTTTATTTATTCTATGTATAAAGCGTTCCTTATTCATTTAGCTGCGATTTTCGGAGATACATCTTCATTGGGCCTTTCGCTCCTCCGCCATGAATTGATCGACAATCTTTTTCACTGACTCGTGCAGATTGTCGCTATCTCCAGTATCCTCACCCGTTACAGGCACCGAACTCGTAATTGTTCTCGTAACTCTCATTATTCTATGAACAGAAATAAAATCACATTTATACGTCGTTAATGATAATTATGTAATTTTATTCATAAACATAACATAAAACTTTAGTAGCCTTATTTTTGTCGATTATTTAAGCGTCTTCTTGCCAGAATATCTAAAAAAAAACTTTCCACGTAAGTTTAAAATTCAATATAAGTCACTTAATATTACTTAGGCAATCAATAAGATTAAAGATAATTTTTATATTGAATTAAATGCAAGTTAAAAGTTATATATATATTTTTTTTTTTTCATTTTACAGTAAGAATGCTAATTATTTAGTGTAAGAAAATTTATTTAAAAAACATTTGCGTCAATAAAAATAATAATAATAATTCATATGAAATTGAAGTATTACCTTTCATGTGTTTCAGGACTGGTTTCGGTTGTAATTGTTTCCATGAAAGTTGGCTCGCTTTGTTGTAAAAAGTCATTGTCTGTATAAAAAAAAAAAAAAACAAGCACAAAGATCAAATACAAACTAGTGAGAAAAATCCTTTACCTTTCAAGTGCTGATGTATTTTACGAAATATAAACAAATACGCAAAATAAATGTATTTATATATCAATATTAAATTATTCCATTCATTTAGACGTACTATATATGTCAATTTTACATCATGCCCATACAAGGGTTTGGTACTAGACACATATAAAAAAATTAACAACATTACTAAACATTTGACAATGCAAATCGTACGCATTATGCTTTACTCAATTAGCCAAGTTTAAATGCAATCTACGCAAGTTTTATATGTAATACTCTATATTTTTATTAAAAATAAAGTATAAATTTACTTTATTTTGAAGCTTATTAAATAAAGCTTTTCCTTCGATAAAAAAAAAAACAACAAACAAAAATAAATAAAAACATATTTCGATTATTACATATTACAAATATAAAAATTTTATTTCATTATTACAAGTTATTATTGATATGAATAATATAGATTATCAATGTATAAGATATTACTAAAGATGAAATGAAAATGTATGATGATGAAGTATCTAAGTTTTCAAAGTAGGATCTCTGTTTTTTTACAAGACAGAAAAACTTACTTTGTTCGAAGGATCGCTTGTAGCTTTCGTTTTTTTTTTCTTTTTTTTTTCTTTTTACCTTTGAACGTACAATTTCTTTTCTTTTATATATATATATAATATAATATAATATAAAAATAAGATACCAGTGCTACACGCAGCGAGCTTGTGAGATATAAATGACAAAAGCTGTCGAATATATAAGTAAAGCATTTTAGCAATTATTTAAATATTCCCGGATTTAATATAGCTAACTTGTATTTGCGAAGACATAGCCTTCAGTCTGATAAATAATAACAATATATCGCATTAAGTTAGTATTTTTCATATGTAAAGAGGTAATGATGAAATAAAATGCAGCTTTCTTTTATAAAATAAATTCCATTAAATAGAACTACCAGATTAGTATTGTTAGACGAACATTAGGCAGTAAAGTTGTACTTTTATCTATAAGACTCCATATTATAAATGTAATTTACAAAGTGAAATAACGTTTTGGTTAACGTGTATGCATTATTAAAATTAAATATTCCACAATTTAATACATTCGCCTAATAATCCTAAGAATGTCTACAATCAACTTTGTCGTTGGTCCCTCTACGTTTTAGCTTTATCTTTATTTTGTTAAAAAAAAAAAATATCGTGATTATTAGAAGAATATTATTGGGAATTAGAAGTCGTGGATATAATATTATTGTGTATATTGTATGCGCCAACTACAATGTCAAAATACGAATTCGCCAAGAGAGTTAAAGTAAGAGAATTTATAAAAATATACGAAACTGCTTCCCATGCTAATTTAATATAAATTTTATACCATCATGCACTACGTTTGATTATCCATACATACTTATATACAAAATATACAGTCTGATGCATCAGAAAAAGAAAGCTTGTTTGCTATTTTATATATTATATTGTTAACTCTTACCTTTCAATATGATTGATTATATTGTAATTAAGCTATATTACGATTTAAAGTAATTGGTAAATAATTCACGTACCCAGTATCCATTACGGAATGACTAGAAAAGATGCTGGTGACATTTTGAAAAGTTTCTGGCTCCAGAACAAAAAGTACAGCTAGTAGGGCCACCAAAAGTGAAACAGATGCAATCATCCCATACGTGCATCTGGAATTTTTATTCTCCTTTCCAGATATTGATCCTAGAATCGCTTTAACGTGACCATTTTGTCGACTTGAATTCTCTGATCCTATACAAGTACGTTGTTCTGCCACGTAAATATCATTCTTCTTATAATTTTCTCAAAATTTTCAATAATTTCACGGTAATTTCGGATTGATAATTGACCATACAATAAAAAGAAATGCTCAGTTCAGTTATTTCAGAAGGAAAATGTTATATATCATCAAAGTAAGAGAACTGTCAATCCGAAAGATTCAAAAAGCGCACACAGGAATGATGAATGATGATATGCTGCACCAGAAGCGCCCCTCATATATTGGAAGAGTCCCCGAATTTTCCCAGCAAGAAGGCTTCGTAGAATTGATACATGAACTTCAACGCAAAACAAAACAATGTGACGCCTAATGTGACACACCCGACGCACCTGCGATCAACCAACGTTGAAAAAAAAAACCAGATTCTTCGATAGTAATAAAAATCACATAAAGTGCTGATAAATAATATCAGCTTGTACAAGCTTTGTTTTTCTGTTGGCTTCGTAATAATTCATTTAACCAACGCCATCAATTTGGAGAATTTTACAATAGCTATTCTTATATTATAACAATTACTGGAATTGATGGAAATTTATGCCAGACTACACTTTACTAATTCTATATTACAAAGTATACAAATTTTATTACATTAACTACTATCGAAAGAGTTTCTGTTAATAATAGTTTATAACATGCAAAGCTTTGACCAAGTTTAGTAAAGTACCTTAAGCTTGTTATATGCAATACTTAAAAGGCATAGTAGCTCAAGCTTATACAAACTTTATTAGCTAAAATTGTTCATTTTGGATATTAAATATTTTCTATTAAAGCAGGATCGTAGGCATTATTATTATTATTATTATTAAAAATTTTAAGCCACCAAACAAACACAATGCAATGGTTATTTATATTATAACGTACATTTATGCGATGATATCTTACGGATTAGCGGGACATATACATTGCTTACTTATAACATTAGCTGTGAGTGAGGTACCTTGATCATCCTCCATTGGGGAAAGTTCAGCCCCTTCGTGCAGTGCAACATCTGAACCACTGGAGCTTCCATAACTGCGCCTCTTATTCGGAGATTTTCTTCTATAATGAGAAGAACCATCGCTATCTGTATCGCTAATTGTTCCCTGGATCGAGCCATTTTTAACATAGTTATCATCTGTATACGAAACTGGCGAAATGTCTACCGGAAATTGAGTTTCCCACAACTCTGCCGAGATACTCGCCTCTCCAGAGCTACTCATCTTTCCCCAAGATTCCTGCTTATCGTCCGAAAAATATTTTTTAGTTCCTGTTTCGGTGATCGTTCTATTCGACGTTCTATCTATATTGGGATCTCTTGCACCTTCGAAGTCACAAGTGTCTTCTGATCTTTCATTAGTCGATGATTTCATAACGTATGAAGAAACTTGGTTACATCGATCCGCACTTTCATTCATTCGATTATCTTGATTGGAAAGCAATTCGCGCTGTTGTGTTTCGTATAAATCAGAATAATTCGTCATATTATCGTTTAAAATCTCCTCTCTCTCAGGCACTTTTGTTCTTATACTGTCAGTACCGACAATTTCTTTCATAAATTTATTGTCAATAATCAGAGCCTCTTTTTTAGTGGGAGATTTATACAATTGTTTCTTTAGCTCCGTAACTGTCGACGGGTTTTCCAAATGTTTCTGTAAAGTCTCATTCTTCAAATCTAATTTCAAGCCACTTATGTTTAATGATGTCTTGATTGTAGTAGATTGTCGAGGTACAGGAACAGGGTGCTTTGTAGAAGTTGAAGAAACATGCCTCTCTACAGTTCCATCAATCTCAGCCGAATCATGCCCTGACCCATCCAAAAGGACATGGACAAGAACAGGAGCAAGGACATAAAGCACATTGATACACACTAAAAATGTTAATTCTAGCCCATCTGCAAAGGGGCTCAAAAACAGAACGAAATCTGTTTTGAAAATTCTATGTCTAAAGTGTGATTTTTCAAACAATGAATGAACTAGAAAGAAGGATTGAATATCATGAATCTATGTAAGTCGAGTTTAAATTAGTAAATATGAACAAATTGTTAGGATTAATCATTAAAAACACTTAATGAGTTATGTCTAGATGTTTGCATGTTGCTGTTTTTTAAAAAAAAATTTTTTTTTGTTATATATATATATATATATATATATCAAAAGGTACGCAGAAAGGCTCATTTAATGAAATACTGAAAATTTATTGAAAAATATATCTTTAAATATTATGCGGTAAAGTAAATTTACTTATAAAGTATTTGAATTCGCTACGTTAATGACGTATAATCATTAGATGAAGTTAATTAGTTTACTACGGTACTAACGCCTTAACCGAGTACCTTTTGAATAAAGTGACATACAATAAAGTTAGTGTAGGAAGCGTCAGCATGTGCCAACTATAGAAGATAAAGCTAAATATAACCGAGGGCACCAAAATATGAATTTAATATGACGTATTAAACATACTGATCCTTCGACCTAAATCAGTTTTGTGTTTCCATCATGACAGATGATTTGATGTATCGTTTATAATAAATATATCACCTGTTTGATTTAGCGAACGTGCATGATCAGTTAGGAGTTGTGCCCGTTTGGTTGCTTCCTGCGTAATATCTGTAATACACAAACAAGCCACATTATTTTCACTGGCAGTGATTATTGTAACATCAAAAGCAGTGATTAACAGATATTAGGATGAATGATGTTTCCCTGCATGGCATATCTTGTATAATGCTTCACTAGACCGTGGCTTCCTGTTAATTTGAATGAAATTATTACTTACTTTAAAATATTTGAATTTGTGATGTTTATGTTTAGCTAAATAATAAAGAATAGATAGGGGAAAAATAATATGTAAAATTTGTCAAAAAAGAAAATTGTGATAAAGGCGTATCATTTCATAATTGATTTTCCAACTCTGGCCGATAGGTGCGCGAAACATCACGAAAACCTGGAATCATGCATCAAACTCAGGTAAAAAAAAGCTGTTAAAATTATAGTCACAAAAGTCGTTACAATATATTGTGTTTTGTGTGACATAAAAACTAATGAAAAGACGCTAGATATGAAATTGGGATTTTCGGATTTTGAAAATCAAGACCTGTCTTTAATCTTGGACATTTATAACATGTTTATAATGTCTTGATCTTAATTAAAGAGCGATGATCAAGATTAAAGAAGTTATTAGTCATTGTTAAAAATGAAAATACAGTCAAATGGGTGGTTGCTCGTCGATTGATACAATGAATAATTGATTTTAAAATTCCATTACTACATTGAGACACTTCATAAACAAATATTTACAAATGTTTTGCCAATGTCCAAATAAAGATAAGAGTGCAGTAATAGTTTTTAGAATCACATATGATATATGTGAACTAAGGTTACAAAAAGCATTAACTTAATTAATCATGTTACACACAGCTGGTATATAATATATATATATATATGTATGTGTGATATATGTACGTATATAACACAATTATTGCAAGGTACCTTTACTGCTATTGTCAGTGAACTCGGCAGAGATGGGTGGTGGGGTCGCCGCCGAACGCACAGACTTTGTTATGACTGTGGTAACGGTTTGATGTGCGTGAGGTTCAGAATGCAATAAGCTACTAGAAACATCTCTTTCAACTATTGTAATTAACTCTTCCCTAATTTGAATATCGGACCGTTGTATCTCTTGGTAAGACTTAACCTCTTGTGGAATGCGTGACTCTACTTTACGTATAACGTTTGTCGTACAAATATTCGAAGACCCTGGAATTATGTCTGGTTCTAAAGCAATGTCGTTTTTCACTTTATGTGAATCACTGACGCCTGAACTTACATCGTAGCTACCAGACGGTCTAGACTCTATAGATTCATTCTTTGTATCTTCCCAGAATTTTCCCGTTGCATCTCTAATACCTTCAGTTGCGTGATCAACCTCTTTCACTAATTTATGGGTTGCACCTCGAGCCTTCTTTACAATGCTAGATACAACACCACCTTTTTTAGATTTTTTTACTATATCCCTTTCAGTTTTACCGACTGGATCACGCTCTAATGAACTTCTACCCGAATTTGATTCTGAACTCGAGGAATTGGCCACAATAGGAAATGGCTCGTTTCTTAAATTTGCTGTATTTCGTGCGTCATCAAGGAAAACTAGGGTAGCATTTTTCGTATTAGCTACATTTATACAATCAGTCTTTTTTGAAAGAAATGAATCTTTATCTTCGACGGATTGGTTAGACTCATGTAAAGAGCGAGGTGCTATGTTATCTAATTCGTTACTAGTCACAGCGCTTGAAATTTGTACAGGACTACATTTCCTTACATTATCAGTTATGCTAATTACCGTTCGCTTATACGATTTATTTACATCTTCGGATTTGCTATCATTGGCATTAGCACTTACATTTACAGGCTCACTCGCCATTTTCTTAAACTGATCCTTAGTATTCTTATGATCGGTTGACGCAAAACTCGTAGTTACATTATCTACATTTGATAAAACTTCTAACGGATTATTATTATTCTCTACTTCAACCGGTGTAGTAATCGACTCCGTATTCTTCTTAGTTTTCTTTTCTTCATCGAGTGCTTCTTGTTTCGTTTCCTCAACGAATTCTTTAACATCATCAACAACCTCTCCAGCTGCCTGTTTTGCACTTTTCAATATACCAGATAAAAAGCCACCAGATTTTTCCTTGTGCTTTTTAGACGAGAATTTCGTGGAGCTATCCAATTTGGATTTCGGAATTTCAGGATTAACATTAACCATAGTATCGATATTAACTTTAGTTTTTTTCGCAGCTGCTTCCGTTGAATCAGCAACCTCCTTCACGGTCTTCTCAGTTTTCACTTTAGCATCATTTGCTGTATCAACAATTTTGTCCATTGCGTCCCTTGTTGCATCAACGACATTGTCCTTTGCATCTCTTGTTGTATCGACGACTTTGTCCTTTGCAGCCTTGCTCGTGTCCTTCACATCCTCGACTACGTCGTGAACTTTTGTAGCAGCTTTCTTTCCAGTATCATCAATTTTATCTTTGAGGTCGCCCAAGCCATGTTCGATTTTTCTCTCAGTTGTTGAAAGTTTTGTTCCAACTGCTTCGGCTCCTTTCTTGACGTCATCTACAACCTTCTCAGCCCCATCTTTCAGACCCTTGGCCGCTTTCTCTGCTGCTCTTTTAGCTTTTTCTTCTTCTTCAATAGCTTCTTGTTTAGTCTCTTCAGCAAATTCCTTCACGTCGTCTGCAACTTCGTCGGCTGCGTGTTTCGCGCCTTTGAAAATTCCAGAGAAGAATCCGCCAGTTTTATCTTTAGCTTTTTTCGCAGCAGCTTCCGTTGAATCAGCAACCTCCTTCACGGTCTTCTCAGTTTTCACTTTAACATCATTTGCTGTATCAACAATTTTGTCCTTTGCATCTCTTGTTATATCGACGACTTTGTCCTTTGCAGCCTTGCTCGTGTCCTTCACATCCTCGACTACGTCATGAACTTTTGTAGCAGCTTTCTTTCCAGTATCATCAATTTTATCTTTGAGGTCGCCCAAGCCATGTTCGATTTTTCTCTCAGTTGTTGAAAGTTTTGTTCCAACTGCTTCGGCTCCTTTCTTGACGTCATCTACAACCTTCTCAGCCCCATCTTTCAGACCCTTGGCCGCTTTCTCTGCTGCTCTTTTAGCTTTTTCTTCTTCTTCAATAGCTTCTTGTTTAGTCTCTTCAGCAAATTCCTTCACGTCGTCTGCAACTTCGTCGGCTGCGTGTTTCGCGCCTTTGAAAATTCCAGAGAAGAATCCGCCAGTTTTATCTTTAGCTTTTTTCGCAGCAGCTTCCGTTGAATCAGCAACCTCCTTCACGGTCTTCTCAGTTTTCACTTTAACATCATTTGCTGTATCAACAATTTTGTCCTTTGCGTCCCTTGTTGCATCAACGACATTGTCCTTTGCATCTCTTGTTGTATCGACGACTTTGTCCTTTGCAGCCTTGCTCGTGTCCTTCACATCCTCGACTACGTCGTGAACTTTTGTAGCAGCTTTCTTTCCAGTATCATCAATTTTATCTTTGAGGTCGCCCAAGCCATGTTCGATTTTTCTCTCAGTTGTTGAAAGTTTTGTTCCAACTGCTTCGGCTCCTTTCTTGACGTCATCTACAACCTTCTCAGCCCCATCTTTCAGACCCTTGGCCGCTTTCTCTGCTGCTCTTTTAGCTTTTTCTTCTTCTTCAATAGCTTCTTGTTTAGTCTCTTCAGCAAATTCCTTCACGTCGTCTGCAACTTCGTCGGCTGCGTGTTTCGCGCCTTTGAAAATTCCAGAGAAGAATCCGCCAGTTTTATCTTTAGCTTTTTTCGCAGCAGCTTCCGTTGAATCAGCAACCTCCTTCACGGTCTTCTCAGTTTTCACTTTAACATCATTTGCTGTATCAACAATTTTGTCCTTTGCGTCCCTTGTTGCATCAACGACATTGTCCTTTGCATCTCTTGTTGTATCGACGACTTTGTCCTTTGCAGCCTTGCTCGTGTCCTTCACATCCTCGACTACGTCGTGAACTTTTGTAGCAGCTTTCTTTCCAGTATCATCAATTTTATCTTTGAGGTCGCCCAAGCCATGTTCGATTTTTCTCTCAGTTGTTGAAAGTTTTGTTCCAACTGCTTCGGCTCCTTTCTTGACGTCATCTACAACCTTCTCAGCCCCATCTTTCAGACCCTTGGCCGCTTTCTCTGCTGCTCTTTTAGCTTTTTCTTCTTCTTCAATAGCTTCTTGTTTAGTCTCTTCAGCAAATTCCTTCACGTCGTCTGCAACTTCGTCGGCTGCGTGTTTCGCGCCTTTGAAAATTCCAGAGAAGAATCCGCCAGTTTTATCTTTAGCTTTTTTCGCAGCAGCTTCCGTTGAATCAGCAACCTCCTTCACGGTCTTCTCAGTTTTCACTTTAACATCATTTGCTGTATCAACAATTTTGTCCTTTGCGTCCCTTGTTGCATCAACGACATTGTCCTTTGCATCTCTTGTTGTATCGACGACTTTGTCCTTTGCAGCCTTGCTCGTGTCCTTCACATCCTCGACTACGTCGTGAACTTTTGTAGCAGCTTTCTTTCCAGTATCATCAATTTTATCTTTGAGGTCGCCCAAGCCATGTTCGATTTTTCTCTCAGTTGTTGAAAGTTTTGTTCCAACTGCTTCGGCTCCTTTCTTGACGTCATCTACAACCTTCTCAGCCCCATCTTTCAGACCCTTGGCCGCTTTCTCTGCTGCTCTTTTAGCTTTTTCTTCTTCTTCAATAGCTTCTTGTTTAGTCTCTTCAGCAAATTCCTTCACGTCGTCTGCAACTTCGTCGGCTGCGTGTTTCGCGCCTTTGAAAATTCCAGAGAAGAATCCGCCAGTTTTATCTTTAGCTTTTTTCGCAGCAGCTTCCGTTGAATCAGCAACCTCCTTCACGGTCTTCTCAGTTTTCACTTTAACATCATTTGCTGTATCAACAATTTTGTCCTTTGCGTCCCTTGTTGCATCAACGACATTGTCCTTTGCATCTCTTGTTGTATCGACGACTTTGTCCTTTGCAGCCTTGCTCGTGTCCTTCACATCCTCGACTACGTCGTGAACTTTTGTAGCAGCTTTCTTTCCA